TTAACAGACTGTAGGGGCAAGTGCTGTTAGCGAGCACCTATGAAGGCCGGAACGGTACACGAGGGGGTGGGTGGCCAGCACCACGCCCGACCGCCTTTGTCTCCCTAGTGGCGATGTTTACACACCGCACCAGGTACTCATTTGAGGCTGAGTCGACCTAGGGGAGGCCCGGGACCGGTTTAGATAATAGTCACTGGTGTTGGCCGTGAGCGGGAATCGAACCCGGGTCGCCAGGTTCATAGCGCAGCGTAGCGTTAACCGCTACACTATCGCTCCCCACACAGAACCCACACACACACAGACACACAGACACACACACACACACAGAGACACACGCGCACACACAGAGGGTCACCGATGTCTCGAATTACTGACGATGACCACAACCGCCGTGGCGAGTAACTAATTCGAGGTTGAGTCAACCTTGGGGAGGCCCACGCCAGATCAGACAACACACACACAATGCCGCTGATGCTGTGCATGAGCGCAGTGTGAAGGGCGGCTGATGAGACCCAGGTAACGACTTGACCCGTGATGCCTGGGGTCGCTGTCATTCGATCCATGTGTATACATGTATACGCACATGTACGTGTATAAATGTATACACACGTGTATGTGTATACGTGTATTCGTGTAATGTATGCACACACGTGTATGTGTACACACATGTATACACATACACGTGCATACATGTATACACAAACAATCCTTGGTTCTTTCGGTAAAGTCACATAGGTAGAAAATACATTTATTTATTTCACCAACGTGACTTCTGTTCAATATTCACTGTGTTATAGATTTAAAACACGTGTGATGGAGCATTGCCAACATGCAACCATCAAGATATGAACCGCTCTCTCTCTATTCTAATTGCAAGGATAAGAACTTAAAAGATATGAATTGCTTCCAACATGCATTTATTGAAATGTTTCAATTGAAATAGAACAATCAAAAATAACACAACGTGACTTTACCGAAAGAACCAAGCATACGAATCACTGCAATCACGAAAGCTTTAAATCAAAAATAAAACAATTTAAATGAATAAAGTAATCATAATAAAATTAATTCCGATAAGAAAGTAATAGCAAATCGCAGAGAATCGCGGCCTTTGCGATCTGCTAATCGCATTGTTTTAAAATTGCGATTTCGATTTAAAATCGATTAACCGCTCAGCCCTAACCTACAACTTACTCTTTGGTTCTTTCGGTAAGTCACGAAAGCTTCAAATCAAGAATGTACACACACGTGTATGTGTGTATACATGCATGCATGTGTATATACATGCATGTATGTATATACACACACGTGCATACATGTCTACGTGTAACGCATACACACACGTGTACGTGTATATTTGGAGTTTGCGGTGTGTGTCTGTCTCTCTCTCTCTCTCTCCCCGTGGTCCCGTGGATTGTTTTTCCTCCCGCTCCTCCACATTTTAGAACCAACGTTACGCGTCTAAGAGTCTTTGGCTGCACTACCGCTCCCCAAACAACAACAACAACGACCGCCATTCGCCACTAAGTGGCGGTGACGTCACCACGACGCTTGTGCCAGGCTATGTGCACCCCGAGGCCACCACGTGAAGTGTCGAACGCCCGCTGGCAGGAGGTCACGGGGCAGACCCAGCAGGTGCCACGGGTCGACTGACTGAGACGACTGCAGCTGACGCACCACCGCTCCCACACACGCACACACGCACACACGCACACACGCACGTACGCACACACGCACACACGCACACACGCACACACGCACGTACGCACGGCCTGCACGCTGAACTTCTTTCAGCAGCCGACCGCGCTAATCGGAGCAGCTCTGAAGAAACGAGTTTGTCAATCTGAGATCTGAGATTTGAAATTTTCGTGACTGCAGGGATCCATTCTCCTCGACTATTTCCCTAAAGTCGCGTAGGTAGAAAATAAATGAAATTAAATCGCGACTTTCATTTTGATTTACAGCTTTCGTGACTGCAGGGATTCGTATTCTTGGTTATTTTGGTAAAGCCACGTAGTGTATAGTGTAGTGAATAGTGTAGTGTATAGTGTAGTGCATAGTGTAGTGCATAGTGTAGTGCATAGTGTAGTGTATAGTGTAGTGCATAGTGTAGTGTATAGTGTAGTGTAGTGTATAGTGTAGTGCATAGTGTAGTGTATAGTGTAGTGCATAATGTAGTGTATAGTGTAGTGCATAGTGTAGTGTATAGTGTAGTGCATAGTGTAGTGTATAGTGTAGTGTATAGTGTAGTGCATAGTGTAGTGTATAGTGTAGTGCATAGTGTAGTGTATAGTGTAGTGTATAGTGTAGTGTATAGTGTAGTGAATAGTGTAGTGCATAGTGTAGTGTATAGTGTAGTGCATAGTGTAATGCATAGTGTAGTGTATAGTGTAGTGTATAGTGTAGTGCATAGTGTAGTGCATAGTGTAGTGCATAGTGTAGTGTATAGTGTAGTGTATAGTGTAGTGTAAAGTGTAGTGTATAGTGTAGCGTATAGTGTAGTGTATAGTGTAGTGTATAGTAGTGTATAGTGTAGTGTATAGTGTAACGTATAGTGTAGCGTATGGTGTAGTGTATAGTACAGTGTATAGTGCAGTGCATAGTGTAGTGCATAGTGTAGTGTATAGTGTAGCGTATGGTGTAGTGTATGGTGTAGTGTATGGTGTAGCGTATAGTGTAGCGTAAAGTGTAGTGAATAGTGTAGTGTATAGTGTAGTGTATAGTGTAGTGCATAGTGTAGTGTATAGTGTAGTGCATAGTGTAGTGCATAGTGTAGTGCATAGTGTAGTGTATAGTGTAGTGCATAGTGTAGTGTATAGTGTAGTGTATAGTGTAGTGTATAGTGTAGTGTAAAGTGTAGTGTATAGTGTAGCATATAGTGTAGCGTATAGTGTAGTGTATAGTAGTGTATAGTGTAGCGTATAGTGTAGCGTATAGTGTAGCGTATGGTGTAGTGTATAGTGTAGTGTATAGTGTAGCATATAGTGTAGTGTATAGTGTAGTGTATAGTGTAGTGTATAGTGTAGCGTATAGTGTAGTGCATAGTGTAGTGTATAGTGTAGTGTATAGTGTAGCGTATAGTGTAGTGCATAATGTAGTGTATAGTGTAGTGTATAGTGTAGTGCATAGTGTAGCATATAGTGTAGCGTATAGTGTAGTGTATAGTAGTGTATAGTGTAGTGTATAGTGTAGCGTATAGTGTAGCGTATGGTGTAGTGTATAGTGTAGTGTATAGTGTAGTATATAGTGTAGTGTATAGTGTAGCGTATAGTATAGCGTAAAGTGTAGTGTATAGTGTAGTGCATAGTGTAGTGTATAGTGTAGTGCATAGTGTAGCGCATAGTGTAGTGCATAGTGTAGTGCATAGTGTAGCGTATAGTGTAGTGCATAGTGTAGTGTATGGTGTCTATAGCATCTGAAAGCGCGCGATGCGGTGACCACCATCTTCGTTCGACGGCAGCCAAAAGCCGCCGCCGCTGCTGCTGTTGTGAGGATGATCGTAGTTTGTGTGATGAAGGTTTATGAAAAAAATATCCTCATTCTCATTCCATCTCTCTCTCTCTCGCCCTCTTTCTATCTCGCCCTCTCACTCTCTCGCTCTCTCTCGCTCTCTCTCTCTCACTGCGTACCACACACACGTGCCGGTGATGTGCAGCGCATCTTCTTCGAACGCTGGGGAGCCGGACAAGCCCCTCTCTGTTACCAGCGTGGACGGCGCCACCCCCCACGTGTTCACCTTCTGAAGCGCTCGCTCGTCACCGCGGCGTGCGCGATGACCACCACCACCACCACCACGTGACTTTTCTATCGTGTTGTGCGCGGCGCATTTAGCGCCACAGCGCGCGGATTTATAGCGATTATTTGTTTGTGTTGCTGGTGACTTTGTGTTTTTTGTATCGGAATCGCCTCCAGTGCTGTTGCTGCTGGCGGCAATAAAAGTTGTTTAAAAAGTCGAAGTCTAGCTCTCTATCTCTCTCACTCTCTATCTCCCTCTCACTCTCTCTGTCTCTCACTATCTCTCTCACTCTCTATCTCCCTCTCTCTCTCTCCCTCTCTCTCACTCCCTCTCTCTATCTCACTCTCTATCTCCCTCTCTCACTCTCACTCTCAATCTCTCTCACTATCTCTCTCCCTCTCTCTCTCCCTCTCTCTCTCCCTCTCTCTCTCACTCCCTCTCTCACTCTCTATCTCTCTCACTATCTCTCTATCTCCCTCTCTCTCTCACTCTCCATCTCTCTCTATCCCTCACTCTATCTCACTCTTTATCTCTCTCACTCTCTATGTCCCTCTCTCACTCATAATATCTCTCACTATCTCTCTCACTCTCTATCTCACTCTCTATCTCTCTCACTCTCTATCTCACTCCCTCCCTCTATCTCACTCCCTCCCTCTATCTCACTCTCTATCTCTCTCACTCTCTATCTCACTCTCTATCTCCCTCTCTCTCTCACTCCCTCTCTCCCTCTCTATCTCACTATCTCTCTCACTCTCTCCCTCTCTATCTCACTCCCTCCCTCTATCTCCCTCTCTCTCTCACTCTCCATCTCTCTCTATCCCTCACTCTATCTCTCTATCGCTCTCACTCTCTATCTCCCTCTCTCACACTCTATCTCCCTCTCTCACACTCTCTCACTCTCAATCTCTCTCACTATCTCTCTCACTCTCTATCTCACTCTCTATCTCTCTCACTCTCTATCTCACTCCCTCCCTCTATCTCCCTCTCTCTCTCACTTTCCATCTCTCTCTATCCCTCACTCTATCTCTCTATCGCTCTCACTCTCTATCTCCCTCTCTCCCTCTCTCACTCTCTATCTCCCTCTCTCACACTCTCTCTCACTCTCAATCTCTCTCACTATCTCTCTCACTCTCTATCTCACTCTCTATCTCTCTCACTCTCTCTCACTCTCTATCTCACTCCCTCCCTCTATCTCACTCTCCATCTCTCTCACTCTCTCTCCCTCCCTCCCTCTCTCCCTCCCTCCCTCCCTCCGCCGCCTCACCTGTATCTGGCGTGCCAGCCTGGCGAATGCCCCCACGTAGGAGGACTTGGCGAGGCCCAGCACCCGCTGCACCCGCGTCACGCCGCCCTTCTCCAGCTGCGAGGCGAGCCCAGCGAGGTCGGCCCGCCGGCTACGCCAGAACTCAACCTCCTCCAGGGGTCCCCAGCCGTCGCCGCCCTCCCCGCCGGCGTCGCCGCCATCTTCCATCGAATCCTGGGCGCTCAGAACCTCCTTGATCTGCCTCGTCCAGTGGACCATCGCCGCTGCGGGGGGCAGGCGGGCGGGCGGGCGGGAGGGGAATCGGAGAATCGGGGGGACCGGGAGGGGAGGGGGGAAATGAGCGGTCGCGGCCGCTGTGTCCCTCCCGTTTGCGTTGTCCAGGCGAAATGACGGTGGCTAGGAGATGTTGACTACCTCGCCCGGTGTGCAGGAGGTTCGTGGGTTCGATCCCGACCCTGACGCCTGTTGTATATTTGGAGTTTGCGGTGTCTCTCTCTCTCTCTCTCATCATCATCATGACTTCCATCTCTAACACTGACTCCCATCTCTAAGACTGACTCCTATCTCGATTTGAAGCTTTTGTGACTGCAGGAATCCGTACCCTTTGGCTCTTTTGGTAAAGTAATCACTGTAGGTATGAAATAAAATAAATCACGACGTTTTAGGCGCAACACAAGCGTCCATCATCTGGTGGGAAAGCGTGGTCTGCTGCTGAGGCAGACTGTTTTTAAAAGGTTTGAAATGGGTGTAGCCCAAGGGTCACAACTTCAACCGAGATGGTGGGTACAAACTGAGTAATCATTGGAAGGACGTTATTAATCAGGTAAAGTCTTAACTGACCGTGATGTTTCCATCCTACCTACCTATGTCAGTTGTTATTTCGACTCTCTGTGTCTCTCTCTCTCTCTCTATGCCTCTCTCTTAGATCTCTCATACTCTCACGCTCACATATCCGTTGCATTGTACTCTCATGCCTTTGGATGGCACTCTCATGCTCACAGGCCCTTTGTATTGCACCTGTTGGGTTGCACTCCCTCGTCCAGGAGGTCGCTCGCCTCCTTTTCTACAGTTACATGCTAATCTCTCACATTAACATAGCCACTTCCGTACCCAGTTACATGCTAATCTCTCACGTTAACATCATGTTAATCTCTCACATTAACGTCATACTGATCTCTCAAGTAATCATCATGCTAATCTCTCGCATTAACATCATGCTAATCTCTCACATTAACATAGCCACTTCCGTGCCCAGTTACATGCTAATCTCTCACGTTAACATCATGTTAATCTCTCACATTAACGTCATACTGATCTCTCACGTAAACATCATGCTAATCTCTCGCATAAACATCATGCTAATCTTTCACATTATCATGCTAATTTCTCACATTAACATCACGCTAATTTCTCACATTACGATCATGCTAATCTCTCACATTAACATGGTCACTTCCGTGCCCTCTAATTTCTCACATTAACATCATGCTAACTTCTCACATTAACATCATGCTAATTTCTCACATCAACAGCGTGCTAATCTCTCGCATTGACATCGTGCTAATCTCTCACATTATCATAGCCACTTCCGTGCCCTCTAATCTCTCACATTAACATCATGCTAATTTCTCACATCAACAGCGTGCTAATCTCTCGCATTAACATCATGCTAATCTCTCACAATAACATAGCCACTTCCGTACCCAGTTACGTGCTAATTTACTAGCCCCGGCCACTTCTTCATGACCCTTGGGCTACCACCCATTTCAAACCTTTTAAAAACAGTCTGCCTCAGCAGCAGACCGAGGCTTTCTCACCTGGTGACGGGACGCTTGGTGTTGCGCCCGAAACGTCGTGATTTATTTTATTTTATACCTACAGTGACTTTACCGAAAGAACCAAAGAGTACTGACTCCTAGTGTCTCACACTGACTCCCATCTCTCACACTGATTCTAACACACACACACATACACTCAACAAAGACAAAGATCCCCCGTATTGCCTTAACAGGCTGTCGGGGCAAGTGCCGTTAGCGAACACCTATGAAGGCCGGCACGGCACGCGAGGGGGTGGGGATGGCCAGCGCCACGCCCGGCCGCCTTTGTCTCCCCGGTTGCGATGCTTACACACCGCACCACGTTCCTCACTGGAGGCTGAGTCGACCTAGGGGAGGCCCAGGACCGGTGCGGACAATCGTCATCTGCCAGGTTCACAGCGCTAGCGTAGCGCTAACCCGCTACACTACACTACCGCTCCCCACAGAACACAAAAAAAGATCCCCCCGTATAGCCTTAACAGACTTCAGGGGCAAGTGCTGTTAGTGAGCACCCATGAAGGCCAGAATGGCGATATTGACACACCGCGCCAGGTAATCGTTGAGGCTGAGTCGACCTAGGGGAGGGCCCAGGAAGGGTTCAGATAATCGTCACCGGTGGTGTTGGCCGTGGGCGGGAATCGAACCCGGTTCGCCGGGTTCGTAGCGCAGCGTGGCGCTAGCCGCTACACCGCCGCTCCCCACCGAACACACGCACTCACGCACGAGCAGACCAGGCTGTCAGAACACGCGTTCCGTGTGTGATGAACCACCCCTGACCCCCTCGCCTCCCTCCGCTCGTCTCTCCCTCTCGCTTTCCCGTCCCTCTCTTACTCTCAGGATTGATCCCAGGGCTTAGCTCGGAGGCAATCTGTTGTGCTTCGGGTCAGGGGCCGGAGGTCAGACCTACAGATTAAGCCCTAATGGTCTCGATTAGGGGCTCGCTGCGGAGCCCCCGGGGGGCGCTGCTGGTGGTGGTGAGGGCGGTGAGGGCCAGGGGCCGCCTCACCCCTGTCCACTCTCGTTCCGACCGCCCGCTTTTGTGTTTATCAAGCGGCACGAAAAGCTCGCGAGAGACCCAGCCGGCCCGGAGATCGTCCCAAAACTACCTTCCTGCTACTACTACTGCTGCTACTGCTGCTGCTACTGCTGCTGCTACTGCTGCTACTGCTGCTGCTCCTGCTGCTGCTACTGCTGCTTCTGCTACTACTACTCCTGCTGCTACTACTGCTGCTACTACTCCTGCTACTACTACTGCTGCTACTGCTGCTGCTACTGCTGCTGCTACTGCTGCTGCTACTACTCCTGCTGCTACTACTGCTGCTGCTTCTGCTACTACTACTCCTGCTGCTACTACTGCTGCTGCTTCTGCTACTGCTGCTACTGCTGCTGCTGGTACTGCTGCTGCTACTGCTGCTACTGCTGCTACTGCTGCTGCTGCTGATGCTACTCCTGCTGCTGATGCTACTGCTACTGCTTCCGATGTCAATGCTACTTCTGTTGCGGTTGCTGATGATGTAGCAGGACCTTAAACTCGTACCGGTAAGCAGAGGGCGCGGTGTCGTAGTGGTATGGGGCCGTCCATAAATGACGTAACGCGATTTTGGACGATTTTTGACCCCTCCCCCCCCCCCTGTCACAAAAATTCAGACCCCCCCCCTCAAAGATGACGTCACAAAGCTCTGCCCCCCCCCCTCCAAAACCATATTTCCATTTTGAAAATAAAACACGCTTCAAATCGCTTTAAACTATTGTCATTGTAGCGCGCATTTAATGTGGCGCTGCACATTTCAATAAAAGTCTATTTAATTAAGTAGAACGTTTTGATTTAAAGCTTTCGTGACCGCAGGGATTCATATTCTTGGTTCTTTCGGTGAAGTCACCACGTTAGAAGGGAAACAATCAAATAATTAAAAAAAAAATTCTTATTATTATTTTACCGAAAGGACCAAGAATATAAGTAGAACGTGTTGTCTATATTTAAATTTTTCTTTCGCTCTTTCGGTAAAGTCACGTAGAATGAGAATAAAATAATAAAATAAGATAAGACAATAAAATTCTCACGACGTTTCGGCCACAACACAAGTAGCCTTCATCAGGTGAAAGAACAGAACTGTCGTCCCGACAGTTCAATTGGAGCACTGTCGTCCTGACAGTTCTGTTCTTTCACCTGATGAAGGCTACTTGTGTTGTGGCCGAAACGTCGTGAGAATATTATTGTGTTATTTTATTTTATCAATTTATTATTTTATTCTCATTCTACGTGACTTTACTGAAAGAACCAAAGAAGATACTATACACTACTTTACACTACACTACACACCACACTACACTATGCACTACGCTATACACTACACTACACACTACTATACACTACACTATACATCACTATACACTACAATAAACACTACTATACACTGCTAAACACTACTATACAAAACACTAAATACGACCATACACTATGCTATACACTACACTATACACTATACTATACAATACTATACACTACTATACACTATACTATACACTACACTATACACTACTATACACTACTATACACTACACTATACATCACAATACACTACACTAAACACTACTATACACTGCTAAACAATACTATACAAAACACTAAACACGACCATACACTCGATATACACTACACTATACACTACTATACACTATACGCTACCGTACACTACACTATACATTACTATACACTACATTATACACTACACTAAACACTACTATACACTGCTAAACACTACTACACAAAACACTAAACACGACCACACACTACGATATACACTACACTATACTATACACTATACACTACTATACACTCATTTTATCATTTCATTCTCATTCTACGCGACTTTACCGAAAGAACTGAATCCTTGCAGTCACGAAAGCTTTAAATCGAAAAACATCTTTCAATTGCGCATTTTGATGTGACGTCACATTTCTCAAAACAACCGCCCCCCTCCTCCTCGTCACACATCGTCACACATCGTCACAAACGTCTGACCTCCCCCTCCCCCCCCCAGGAGCGTGACGTCATTTATGGACGGCCCCTGTGCTTGTGGCTAACGCACACGCACAGAGCGGCCCGAATCGGGGCGTCTCGTACGTGTGTACGTTGAACTTCCTTCGCGCCGTACGTAGCAAACCGTAGCCAATCGGAGACGCGCGCCCGTTTAGAGCGTCAGCCCTACACAAAACGGGTTCCGCCGGTCTCGACGGCGGCGATTTAAAGGCGGCGTCGCAGCTCCCGCTGGCTCCCTCGTGTCGGAGGGAAGGGGCGTTCCAGACGGCCCGCCGGTTTCCGCAGCTCCAAAGCCAAAGGGGCTCCCCTCCCGCACGGCCTCAACGGACACCGTCGGGGCAAGTGCAGCGCTGGAGCTAACCGCATCGCCACCGCTCCCCACCCCACCCTAGCCCCTCCCCTAGCCCCCCCCCCCCCCCCCCTCACGCCCCCCCCTCCCCTGAGTCGACCTTTGAACCTGGGCAAACGTGACCCAGGGCGACGCGAGGGGTCGCCCGCCAATCTCCCGTCGAGCTCGGTCCACGCCATCGGGGACGCTCGGGTGTGTCTGTAGGGGTCCTGGGGCTCCGCTAGGTCGACTCGGCCTCAAATGGGTTAACCCGCTGCGGCGTGTGCAGTGAACATCGCCACCGGGGGAGACAAAGGCGGCCGGGCGTGGTGCCGCTGGAACCCTCCCCACCCACCCCCTCGCGTGCCTACGGTGCCGGCCCTTCGTAGGCGCCGCTCGCTAACAGCACTTGCCCCAACACGTCTGTTACAGGCTACACGGGGGATCTTTGTCTTTTATAGGCGTCCCTGGGGCTCCTCTAGGTCGACTCAGCCTCAAACGGTGCGGTGTTGGCCACCGAATTCCCCCACCCCCCCTGCTGCTACTCGCTGCACCTAACAGCACTTGCCACGAGCAGTCTGCTAAGGCTACACGGAGGAGGTGGGGGGGGGGAGGGAAGGTTGGTGAGTCTTTGGTAAATTAAAAGAGAGACTGCTACTACTACTCTTTTTGTGTGCGTGTGTCTGCGTCCGCGCGTGTGTGTGTGTGTGTGTGCGTGTGTCTGTGTCCGCGCGCGTGTGTGTGTGTGTGTGTGCACTCACTTGCCCCAACAGTCTGTTCAGGCTATACGGGGGATCTTTTTGTGTGCGTGCCACCCACTCCCGCGTGTGCCATGCCGGCCTTCGTAGGTGCTCGCTAACAGCACTTGCCCCGACAGTCTGTTAAGGCTACACGGGGGATCTTTGTCTTCATCTGTGTGTGCGCGTGTGTGTGTGTGTCTGTGCGTGTGTCTGTGCGTGTGTCTGTGCGTGTGCACAGTTAGCGGCCACTTTGATTTAAGTGTGACCGGTTTTAGGGGGCATGGGGTTAGAGGTGAGCGGCGATGCTATTTGTTTTCATTAGTAGCGCTGTTGTGTTGTGTAGTTGTGTTGGGCTGTGTTGTTGAGTTGTGTTGGGCTGTGTAGTTGGGCTGTGTTTTTGAGTTGTGCTCTTGAGTTGTGTTGTGTTGAGTTGTGTTGAGTTGTGTTGGATTAATAGCATCCTGCCCCCTACCCAATCTCTCTGTCTCTCTCTCCCTGTTTGTATTTCTCTCTCTGTGTCTCTCTCTGTCTCTCTCTCTCTGTCTCTCTCTCCCTGTTTGTATGTCTCTCTCTGTGTCTCTGTCTCTCTCTCTGTCTCTCTCTGTCTCTCTCTCTGTCTCTCTCTCCCTGATTGTATGTCTCTCTCTGTCTGTCTCTCTCTGCCTCTCTCTCTCTCTGTCTCTTTCTCTGTCTCTCTCTCTCTCTGTCTCTCTCTCTGTCTCTCTCTCTGTCTCTCTCTCTGTCTCTCTCTCTGTCTCTCTCTCTGTCTCTCTCTCTCTCTGTCTCTCTCTCCCTGTTTGTATGTCTCTCTCTCTCTGTGTCTCTGTCTCTCTCTGTCTCTCTCTCTGTCTCTCTCTCTGTCTCTCTCCGCCTCTCTCTCCCTGTCTGTCTGTCTCCCTGCGCGTCTCCCCGTCGCCCGCGTCACTCACTCTCGAGTCGTCCCACCAGCTCCTTGTCCGACGCGGCCGTTTCCGCGTCGATGGACAGCACCTCCTGGGGGATGTAGAGCACCGTGTGTCCCTCCAGCTTGTGCCGCGTGTCTGCGCGGACGAAAGACAAATGTCCCCCCGTGGGCGTGCCGTGGCAGTTAGGAGAGATGTTGACTACCTCGCCCGGTATGCAGGAGGTCGTGGGTTCGATCCAAACCCTGACGACGCCTGCTGCTGTATTTCTAGTCTACATGTCTCTCTCTCTGTCATCATCATCACGGTGGCTAGGAGATGTTGACTAGCTCGCCTGGTGTACAGGAGGTCGTGGGTTCGATCCCGACCCTGACAACACTTGCTGTCTATTTGGAGTTTGCGGTGTCTCTCCCTCTCTCTCGCCCTCCCCGTGGTCGCGTGGACTGAACCCTCTCACCAACCTGAACCCTCTCACCGACCTGAACCCTTTCACCAACCTGAACCCTCTCGCCAACCTGAACCCTCTCGCCAACCTGAACCTTCTCACCAACCTGAACCTTCTCCCTCTCACCAACCTGAACCCTCTCGCCAACCTGAACCCTCTCACCACCTGAACCTTCTCACCGACCTGAACCCTCTCACCGACTGAACCCTCTCACCGACTGAACCCTCTCACCGACCTGAACTCTCTCGCCGACGTGAACCCTCTCACCAACCTGAACTCTCTCAGGAACCTGAACCCTCTCATCAACCTGAACCATCTCACCAACCTGAACCCTCTCATCAACCTGAACCCTCTCACCGACCTGAAACCTCTCAGGAACCTGAACCCTCTCGCCAACCTGAACCCTCTCACCGACCTGAATCCTCTCACCGACCTGAACCCTCTCACCGACCTGAACCCTCTCACCGACCTGAACCCTCTCACTAACCTGAACCCTCTCACCAACCTGAACCCTCTCACCAATGTGAACCCTCTCACCAACCTGAACCCTCTCACCAACCTGAACCCTCCCACTGACTGGACCCTCTCACCAACCTGAACCCTCTCACCAACCTGAACCCTCTCACTGACTGAACCCTCTAACCAACCTGAACCCTCTCACCAACCTGAACCCTCCCACCAACCTGAACCCTCTCACCAACCTGAACCCTCTCAGGAACCTGAACCCTCTCATCAACCTGAACCCTCTCACCAACCTGAACGCTCTCATCAACCTGAACCCTCTCACCGACCTGAAACCTCTCAGGAACCTGAACCATCTCGCCAACCTGAACCCTCTCACCGACCTGAATCCTCTCACCGACCTGAACCCTCTCACCGACCTGAACCCTCTCACTAACCTGAACCCTCTCAGGAACCTGAACCCTCCCACTGACTGAACCCTCTCACCAACCTGAACCCTCTCACCAACCTGAACCCTCTCACCGACCTGAACCCTCTCAATGACCTGAACCCTCTCACCAACCTGAACTCTCTCACCAAACTGAACCCTCTCACCAACCTGAACCCTCTCACCAACCTGAACCCTCTCACCGACCTGAACCCTCTCGCCAACCTGAACCCTCTCGCCAACCTGAACCCTCTCACCAACCTGAACCCTCCCACTGACTGGACCCTCTCACCAACCTGAACCCTCTCACCAACCTGAACCCTCTCAATAACCTGAACCCTCTCACTGACTGAACCCTCTCACCGACCTGAACCCTCACACCAAACCTGAACCCTCCCACCGACCTGAACCCTCTCACCGACCTGAAACCTCTCACCAACCTGAACCCTCTCACCGACTCAACCCTCTCACCGACCTGAACCCTCTCATCTACCTGAACCCTCTCACCAACCTGAACCCTCTCACCAACCTGAACCCTCTCACCAACCTGAACTCTCTCACCAACCTGAACCCTCTCACCAACCTGAACCCTCTCAACGACTCAACCCTCTTATCAACCTGAACCCTCTCACCAACGTGAACCCTCTCGCCAACCTCAACCCTCTCACCAACCTGAACCCTCTCACCAACCTGAACCCTCTTACCAACCTGAACCTTCCCACCGGCCTGAACCCTCTCACCGACTTGAACCCTCTCACCGACCTGAACCCTCTCACCGACCTGAACCCTCTCGCCAACCTGAACCCTCCCACCGACCTGATCCCTCTCATCAACCTGAACTTTCTCACCAACCTGAACCCTCTCACCGACCTGAACCCTCTCACCAACCTGAACCCTCACACCAAACCTGAACCCTCCCACCAAACCTGAACCCTCTCACCAACCTGAACCCTCTCACCGACCTGAACCCTCTCGCCAACCTGAACCCTCCCACCGACCTGATCCCTCTCACCGACCTGAACCCTCTCACCAACCTGAACCCTCACACCAAACCTGAACCCTCCCACCAAACCTGAACCCTCACACCAAACCTGAACCCTCACACCAAACCTGAACCCTCCCACCAAACCTGAACCCTCACACCAAACCTGAACCCTCCCACCAAACCTGAACCCTCCCACCAAACCTGAACCCTCTCGCAAACCAACCGACCGACCGACCGTTCCTCACCCGTGAGCGTGGCCATGAAGCGGTGCACGTGCCCGCGGAAGTCGTTGCGGATGCCCTCGGGCCAGCCGGCATTGTGCAGCAGCGAGGGCACGTAGACACCGCCCATCGCCCGCAGGAGGGCCTCCAGGTGGCCGCCCCTCACAGTGCCCACCAGCACCGCGCCGCTACGCAGCAGCCGCTCGGCGCCACCCGCCCCGTCGGCGGCGACGGCACCGGCGGCACCGGCGGTACCGTCGGCGTCGCCGCCGGTACCGTCGCACCGTCGCCGCACGAAATACATCATCTCGTCCACGGCCTGTGGGGTGACACACAGGGGGTCAGGGCGCGCTTTCCTCTCCGCCGGGGAGACGAAGTCTCTCCCTCCCTCTCTCCCTCTCTCCCTCTCTCCCTCTCTCTCTCCCTCTCTCCCTCTCTCTCTCCCTCTCTCTCCCTCTCTCCCTCCCTCTCTCCCTCTCTCTCTCTCTCTCCCGGCGCGCGTGCCGTTGACACCGCCCGCCCGAATAAGGCGCCCGCCGGCCATCGGAGGCCCGCCCCAACGGCGTACCGTTTGCTTGGGCTGATTCTTTGCGATTTCAAAAAGTCCGGTAAAAACTTTCTTATTCTTCTTTGGTTCTTTCGGTAAAGTCACGTAGAATGAGAATAAAATAATAAATTGATAAAATAAAATAACACAATATAAATTTTATCAATTTATTATTTTATTCTCATTCTACGTGGTGACTTTACCGAAAGAACCAAGGAAGATGAATCATTGCAGTCACGAAAGCTTTAAATCGAAATTTAACTTTCTTATTGTTGGGATTGTTTCATTTTTGTATTATAATTATTATGACCGTATTTATTCATAATAAAGTGTGTTTTGGGTTAGATCGCGTTACTTATAAGTGTGTCGTGACGCTCCACCGCCCGAACTACGGACAATCAGCAAAAAAAAAGCGTCACGTTGACAAAGGACAATTATAGTCTTAGTTTTTTTCGGTAAAGTCACGTTGAAGGGAAACAACAAAATAATAAAAAATATATATAAAACAATAAAAAATTCTCACGACGTTTCGACCATAACTCAAACGGTCGTCTTCAGGTGTGTTGGTAACCAACAGAATTTTTTATTTTTTATTGTTTTATATATATTTTATTATTTTGTTGTTTCCCTTCAACGTGACTTTACCAAAAAAAACTAAGGATATGAATTACTGCAGTCACGAAAGCTTTAAATCTAAATTTAAAGGACAATTAGTTCGCTACTTTAGCCCACCGGGCTTAGCCCACCTGGCTAAAGTAGTGAATAACGCGATCTAACCCAAAAACCTTTACCATGAATGATATTGGTTGCGAAAGCCTACGTGTTAAACTGTATTAATTTAACTTAATTGTTCTATGTTTGCTTGTTCTATTTCAATTAAAACATTTTAATAAATGCACGTTGGAAGCAATCACCCACGCACATACATGCATTAGAATAGAGAGAGAGCGGTTCATATTTTGATGGTTGCATTTTGGTAATGCTTCATCGTTTTAAATCTATAACACATTGAATATTGAACTGAAGCTTGACTTGGTTATAGGGCTGAGCTGCTACGTAGCTCTTTTTCTTTCAGAGAAGCGAAACTGCCCATCACGAATGATGACAGCTCAACAAAGTGGATCATATCATCATCATCATCACCGTATAGCAGCAGCCAAATTAGTCTAAACGCGTGATTCTAATTGTGAACACGGGGAGAGAGAGAGAGACACACACAAACTCCAAATAAACAGCAGCAGCAGGCGTCGTCAGGGTCGGGATCGAACCCACGACCTCCTGCATACCTGGCGAGGTAGTTAACATCTCCTAGCCACCGTGGTGATGAGAGAGAGAGACGCAGACTCCAAATCTACAGCAGCAGGAGTCATCAGGGTCGGGATCGAATCCACGACCTCCTGCATACCAGGCGAGGTAGTTAACATCCCCTAGCCGCCGTGATGATGATGATGACGATGATTAAAGAGAGAGACACGTAGACTAGAAATATACAGCAGGCGTCATCAGGGCCGGGATCGAACCCACGACCTCCTGTATACCTAGCGAGGTAGTCAACATGTCATAGCCACCGTGATGATGATGATCAGAGAGAGAGAGAGAGACACGCAAACTCCAAATATACAGCAGGCGTCATCAGGGTCGGGATCGAACCCACGACCTCCTGCACTCCAGGCTAGGTAGTTAACGTCTCCTAGCCACCCTGGCGCCCCACACTACACACAGACACACGCAGACTTGACCTTTGCTATGGAACACCTTGACGGTAGATATCGTGACCCCATGTTACAGACGGACGGACGGAGCTACTGTGCACTCGCACTGTCAGACTAGGTACGTGCGTGTGTGTGTGTGTGTGTGCGTGCGCGTGTGCACATGTATGTCGAACATCTTTCGCACCGTACGTAACCGACCGTGCTAATCGGAGGTGCGGGGGGAAGGACGACAAACTAAACTATTCGAGAGTGAAGCTACCTGTCTGCTTTATCGCTGTGTCTCTCTCTTTTTTTTTTACGATCAGAGGGGAACAAGAAGATGCTCGGTGCAGTCGGCACTTTGCTTCGTTCATCATTTCGGTTTTTTTCAACGCTTTGCTTTGTGTAAACCACCCCCCCCCCCCCTTTTTAAATGAAAGATTTAACAAAATATTTCTCACTCTGCTCTCCTTACCCCTTCCCTGTCTCTCTACCCCCTTTCTCCCCCCCCCCCTTTCCATCTCCGTCTCTCTCCCTATCTGTATTTCTCTCCGTATCTCTCTCCCTGTCTCTCTCTCGGTGTCTCTCTGCCTGTCTCCCCGTCTCTCTCTCCCCTTGTGTCTCCCCGTGTGTGTGTCTCTCTCTCTCTCCCTGTCTATCTCACTGTCTCTCTGTGTATCTCACCGTGTTGTTTTCGCTCTCCCGGTATCTAACTGTGTCTGCTTTATCGCTAATTCTCTCTCCCCTTGTCCCTCCCCGTGCGTGTGTGTCTCTCTGTCTATCTCACTGTGTGTCTCTCTAAATGCCTCTCTGTGCATATCGCTTTCTATTTCTCTGTCTCTCAGTGTCTCTCCTTGTGTCTCTCCATGAGACAGAGATGTCTCTCTCTCCCCGTGTGTCTCTCTGTCTGTCTGTGTATGTCTCTCTGTCTCTCTCCCTGTGTGCGTCTTTCTCTCTGTCTCTCTCCCTGTGTACGTCTCTCTCTCTGTCTCTCTCCCTGTGTATGTCTCTCTGTCTCTCTCCCTGTATATGTCTCTCTGTCTCTCTCTGTCTCTCTCCCTGTGTGTGTCTCTCTCTGTCTCTCTCCCTGTGTGTGTCTCTCTCTCTGTCTCTCTCCCTGTGTATGTCTCTCTGTCTCTCTCCCTGTATATGTCTCTTTGTCTCTCTCTGTCTCTCTCCCTGTGTGTGTCTCTCTCCCTGTGTGTGTCTCTCTCTCTGTCTCTCTCCCTGTGTATGTCTCTCTGTCTCTCTCCCTGTATATGTCTCTTTGTCTCTCTCCCTGTATATGTCTCTCTGTATCTCTCTGTCTCTCTCCCTGTGTACGTCTCTCTCTCTCTCTGTCTCTCTTCCTGTGTATATCTCTCTGTCTCTCTCTCTCTCTGTGTGTGTCTCTCTCTCTCTGTCTCTCTCCCTGTGTTTCTCTCCCTGTGTGCGTGTGTCTCTCTCTCTCTCTGTCTCTCATTCTCTCCGTGTCTCTCTCTGCAGGCGCCCCCTGCGATGATAACGCCGCTGCAATAATACCACGCGAACAAACCCCCCCACTCCGGCAGCACTATTGTCTCAGGCCTCCCTTGCTGGGGGCCTTCCCTGCTGGGCTGGCATTGGGTACCCTGGACCCTGGGCATTTGTTCAGATTTTCCTTCCAAATCCACCACAGGCGGTTTATTATTGTTGTTATCATCATCAGAGAGAGAGAGAGAGACAGACACAGAGTCCCACGGTAAAATAAACCCCGTGGCGTCCTCTGGAAAAGGATCTCACCCCCCCCCCCACCCACCGCCCCCCCCTGCCCCCCCATTTGACCCCCCCCCCCCAGCCTCTTTTTTTATCTGAACTGAACCTGAAACAATGTGAACCGAATCTGGCCGAGAGGGAGAAGAGAAAGTGATCGTTTGATGCCACGTGTGTGAGTGGGTGGGTGTATGTGTGTGTGGATCTGTGTGTGTGTATGTCTGTGTGTGAGTGGGTGGGTGTATGTGTGTGTGGATCTGTGTGTGTGTATGTCTGTGTGTGTGTGGATCGGTGTGTGTGTGGATCTGTGTGTGTGTGTAGGTACGTGTGTGTGTGGATCTGTGTGTGTAGGTCTGTGTGTGTGTGTGGATCTGTGTATGTGTAGGTCTGTGTGTGTGTGGACGTCTGTGTGTGTGTAGGTCTGTGTGTGGGTCTATGTGTGGATCTGTGTGTGTGTGTGGATCTGTGTGTGTGTGGATCTGTGTGTGTGTGTGGATCTGTGTGTGTGTGTGGATCTGTGTGTGTGTGTGTGGATCTGTGTGTGTGGATCTGTGTGTGTGTAGGTCTGTGTGTGTGTGTGGACGTCTGTGTGTGTGTAGGTATGTGTGTGTGTGGGTCTATGTGTGGATCTGTGTGTGTGTGTGGATCTGTGTGTGTGTGTGGATCTGTGTGTGTGTGTGGATCTGTGTGTGTGTGGATCTGTGTGTGTGTGTGTGGATCTGTGTGTGTGTGTGGATCTGTGTGTGTGTGTGTGGATCTGTGTGTGTGTGTGGATCTGTGTGTGTGTGGATCTGTGTGTGTGTGTGGATCTGTGTGTGTGTGGATCTTTGTGTGTGTGGATCTGTGTGTGTGTGTGTGTAGGTCTGTGTGTGTGTGGACGTCTGTGTGTGTGTGTAGGTCTGTGTGTGTAGGTCTGTGTGTGTGTGGGTCTGTGTGTGTGTGTAGGTCTGCGTGTGTGTGGACATCTGTGTGTGTGTGTGTAGGTCTGTGTGTGTGTGGACGTCTGTGTGTGTAGGTCTGTGTGTGTGTGTAGGTCTGTGTGTGTGTGTGTGGGTCTGTGTGTGTTGCGGGGAGCGGTGGTGTAGCGGTTAGCGCGCAGCACGACGAACCTGGCGACCCGGGTTCGATTCCCGCTCATGGCCAACACCAGTGACGATTATCTGAACCGGTCCTGGGCCTCCCCTAGGTCGACTCGGCCTTAAAATGAGTACCTGGTGCGGTGTGTAAAGATCGCCACTGGGGAGACAAAGGCGTCTGGGCGTGGTGTTGGCCACCCACCCCCTCGTGTGCCGTGCCGGCCTTCAAAGGTGCTCGCTAACAGCACTTGCCCCTACAGTCTGTTAAGGCTAT